GTACGTAGGAGCAGAGGAAGATGTGACTGGTAATGGAGACGCAGAGGAGAGAGGGAGGGACCCACACAGACTACAAACACTTTGCAGCTTGGCACAACTGCTCTAATTTTGGTAAAGACCACATATAAGAAATTCGTAAGCTATTTATCTACTCATGTCATCTGTTTGAGGCTACCAATTAATATTTCCCTGCCTAGGAAGGATAAATTGATGTTCTTTAAAATCTTATGAAGTTCAATTCTCTAATGTGTAGCAATTTAGGAAAGGCACACTAAAATTCACAAGCAAAGCCTACAAGTGACCAGCCCATGTACATCTTGGTTGTGTCTGTTTTGTTGTTGGTAGAGTAGAAGAATGCAAGGTGTTCCCAAGCTTGGTCCTTGCTCTTAGATCCACTGTTAACTTTATAAGCAGTCTTGAATAAATCATCTGGTGTTTCTATGATGAATTTATCAAGTAAGCTTACTAGCATATAAGCTAAGATCTGTTTAAAATCATGTGAAGTAACATATAAATTAATACTAGTGACTAAATGCAATTGGAGGACTAAGCCAAGTGTCCCAGTGAAATAGATCATAGCCTGGACCCTGCACCCTGAAATCTCTGGTTATGGACAACCGAGCAATCAATTTTCAAACAAATTTCATTGGCTCACAACTCCTAGCTATTACTTGAGCCTCTTCTCTGTTAAATGTCACTGAATTTGATATCACTCCCAACTTGAAGTTTCCATCTCCCAGGGGAAGTACATGTAATTCCACTAAGGAACAGATATCACATGTTTTTCAATGGCACTATTTACATGATCAAATCCCTTTTGCTGCAGGAAGTACTGAGGTTCACTCTCTTCTCTGCAGTTATCTAGCGTTCCATAAGAATTAGGCGTGTGTGTCTGTGTGTGTGTGTGTCTGTGTGTGTGTGTGTGTGTGAGAGAGAGAGAGAGAGAGAGAGAGAGGGAGGGAGGGGTAGAGAGAGGAGTAATAGGGTAGGACTAAATGTGGGTATGGAAAAGAACAAAAGATAATAGAATTAAAAACTTAATATCTACCCTGGTTATCAATACTTTGTGTGTGTTTGTGCATTCAATATCTACCTACCAATAGGAGGGAGAGCACTGTCAGTTGTTTAAAGACCATCTCATTATCTGAAAACTCCTAAGCCTGTCCCAGTCTCACCCCATCGTCTTGCAACTTCTTTGCCCTTGGGTTGGTGTTCTGAGCTTATGACGGTGGGATTAGGTAGCACGAGGGTATTACGGAGAGAGAAATCAGGACGCAAAGATTCTTTTGTCTATCGTGAGGAAGACAACTGGACGGCTTATAGGAGCAACGTGCAGCTCTGTGAGTATTTCTCAACTTCTGGGGAGTTTGAGGAGGATTTAACTGAAGGGCAATGGAGGGTTTGATCTGAATCTAAAACAAACAAACAAAAAATGGAAGAAGAGAACATTCTGGACCTGTGAATCTCTACCGGGGCTGGGGCTGAAAATGGGAGAGAACATGAAGGAAATACACTGAAACCTCCTTGTACTGCTATGTGACAAGCTAATGGGTGAAACTTACAGGTCACTGCAAACCTTGATTACTGAATTCATTTGGAAGGAAACCAAAATGGACCCTCCTCTTCTTGAGGCTTCACAGCAAACAGTTTTCTGGGAAAGGAGGGATCTAGGCCATTAAAAGACCACAGAACAAACAGTGCTTTACTCCCAGGGTGTGCTGGCCAACTCGGCCCAGGCACCAAGAGGCCCCTGTGAGAGTGTGAGGATAAGGAAATAGTGAGCAGAGTGGGCACCAAGGTTGACCGTGGTTGCAGCAGTGGCTTAGCCTTCTTCCTTTAAGGCTAAAGTGCTTGTTTGCTCCATTCTGAAGCAAAGTACTTGCTAGATTTTTTTTTTTAATATCTTTTGTTTGGGTCTTATTTGGTCCTCCAAATTATTTGCTTTTTTTCCTGCCTCAGCAGGATCCTGGGTGATATCAAAAGCCCAAACCCTGCAGTGGAGTAAATAGTACTGTCCCTTGTGCCTCCCTCTACACTCTTCTGTAGTCTATTAACAATGGAGTTGTCTCTCTGCCTACATCTCTGCTGAGAAAAGGGAACTGGGAATTGGGATGATAAAGCAGCATCAGAGGGTCTGTCTCAAGAACCTTCTGAAATTGCTTTTCTTTCACTGGAATTTGTGGAGGATCATCATCTATAACTTTAAACAGCTGAGCTTTGCTGTGTTGGGTCTAAAGGACCCTAACCCCAGCTCTCTTCTAAGCGAGCTCTTGTATCCACTTCTTTCTGTAGAACGTGTTTATAATGTTCAAAAGGAGAAGAGCTAATATTGAAGTAAAAACAGGGAAGTATTCTGCCTCACAAAGGAATGATGTGCTTGACACTTTTGGAGGTCAAAAACATGAAACCTCCTCGTTTAGCAAGAGTCGAGACTGTTGCTAGTTTTGAGATTATTCAGCTCCAGGATTCCCTTAGACATTTCAAGGGAAGATCTAAGTATTAGTAATCCCAAATCTAATATCAGTATTTAATACCTACTTACATTATCTCCCTTAATGTTCCCCATGACCTGAAAGGGAAGGTGTTATTTGATTCATTTTATAAATGGAATGAGGTCCAGAGAGGGATATGCAACTTGTCAAGGTCACATAACCAGGTGTTTTTTTTTTAAAGAAGGAATTAAAACTGAATCTGTTTGATTTTAAAGAGCACAGTCTTCACACTGTATTATCCCAAAGGGTAATTTGACAGATCAAGATCACCTTAAGTCTTCCTATTATCAAACTCTGGCTCTCAAGTAAGAGGATTCTAATTAGGGTCACCAGAAAACAATGTAATTCCCAGTTAAATTTGAATTCCAGATAAATAACAAATTATTTTCTTAGTATAATTATGAACATTGAAATACATGGGATACACTTTCATTAAAAACTAATTTGTTATTTGCCTGAAATTCAGATTTAACTTGGGTGCCTTATATTTTTATCTGTAAAACCTGGGCATCCTAATCCTAATAGGTTCTCCAGATGAAAGAAGGAAAACATATGGTTTCTTACTACTTTGAAAGAACTGAAGAGTCTAAAAATCTTGAGTCAGAAGTTTTCTAGTTTTCCCTGTGGCTTTGGCAGAGTCAGGATGTGTCAATTGCTGTTGGTACTCTGAACGTAATGCTGTCCTTGGCCACCCACCACCGAATCCCATGGTCCCAACCACACTTGGGAGAGGCACAAACCTTGCCTGTTGACAGGGCTAGAGAGGACCCACAGCACAAGAGTGAGAGTTGGTGATCAGAGGAGCTGGCAGTGCATGTCCTAAAGCCACTGAGGGCTTTGTGAGGTGAAGTCCATCTAGTGCCTTCCCTGTGGTCCAATGGAAAAGTCTCAGGTCAGGATGCGAACACCCAAGGTCTACTTCTTTATTAATTTATTCACTCACTTGACCAATACAATGTATATGGCACACTGCGGTGCATCTGGCTCTGTCATAGGTTCTGAGATGACAAAAATGTTCTCAAATTGAAAATCAGCCTTATGAGGCCTACTTCAGCAGGAGATAAAGACGAGATTCATAGCATGAGCAAGTGATTTAGGTCCTTGACCGAATTCACCATCCTGGCACCAGCTCACAGATTAGTCAATGCATTTCTATTGAACAAATTGAGGGTGACAACAAATTGAGAAAATGACAACAGAAATTGAAAAAAGAAAACAAGGACAAAATGTCTTGGAGGCAAGGATAATAATTTAAACCTGATTTTCAAAGTCGTAAGTAGGGTAAATAGCGATGATTGGCTGGAGCCGAAGACTGTAAGGGAGAGCTGAGCTAAGAACGTTAGCATAAATCTGTGGCAGGCACAGTAAGGGATCCCATGCAAACAAAGTCCCCAAGCACTAGATTAGGGAAGGGGCTGGCTCAGGGTAAGAAGTTAAGGCTATTTGGAAGTTCTTTAGAGCTTTCCAGAATCTTTCTTCTCAGGATAAGTTTTGTTGATTATTGTGAAAGAAATAGAGAAAGAAAAAAAATGTCATTCTAAAGCTTAGCACCTTTTTAAAAAAAATTTGTCTTTATGGATACTTTTCTGTGATTTATATTTAAAGGACAGTGTCCATGTCTGTAACCAAATTAACCTGGGAACACCATACTGGACAGGTCTATGATATGGATAGGAGAAAATGTTGAAGATATCTGAGAATCATGGCTGAAGTACCTAATGTCTGGGTATGGAGTTAAAATGCAAGCTTATTACTTAATCGCCTGCATTAAGTTCACTATTTATGCCCATGTCTATTAGTTTCTCCTATCCAGATGGCTACACTGTCACCTCCCAGAACTAAGAGAAAAGTTTCTGGGTCACATGAGGATTAGATAAAATAAAGATATACAGGAACAGGGGCTGGGGTTGTGGCTCAGTAGTAGAGCACTCACCTAGCAGGTGCGAGGCACTGAGTTAGATCCGCAGCACCATATAAAATTAAATAAAATAAAGGTATTGTGTCCAACTATAACTAAAAAATTTTTAAAAATTATTTAAAGGAAGAGAGCTCATTAAATATAGACATTTAGAATCAGGTTATTTTATAGCTGGCAGGAAGAATTCATAAAGTTTGGAGCCCGTGAAAGCTGTAATAGGCTGCAATATGGTACATAGTCCATTTCCCTCCCCCGACAAATGATGGGACTGGTGGTAGTGGAGGGCAAGTTCACCATTACGATGAATTCACATAGAACTTGAGCAGTTCATCTCTCGGAACAGCATATACCTACATTTTCGAGATTGTAAGTCTCTTGGTTGTCAGTTTACACATTGAATGCCTCCACTGAGTTATACCATATTTTCTTTAAAATCTCTTTAAACTATAATCATTTCTCCCCCTTTGTGTTAATTTAGAATACTGAACTTCTTTTTCAAAGTGCTTGTCTTTCCTGGTTTAGACTGAATATCTAATAACAACCATTCTTGTTACTTAAACAGTCTTCTTTTTTTCTCTCTCATTGTCCAGAGAGCCCCACAGGGGAAACATCAGTCGACCAGGGGCAGTCAAAATGAGTGACAATACTACTTTGGCTCCTCCAGCGGCAAGCCAAGCTCCTGCCACCCCACGCAAAGGGCCTCCCAAGTTCAAGCAGAGACAGACTCGCCAATTCAAGAGCAAACCTCCTAAAAAGGGTGTGAAAGGGTAAGACCAAAAGGAAAAAGAAAGCCTACTGCTCCCACAAGACTACTCTGGTTTTGAGAAACTAATGCTCCTAATATTGAACAGACTTACACAAATTTCCACCCCACCCTCTGTTTTCCTGTCTAACTCAGGCTTTGCTGAGTCATGTCTTTAGTTTTGTAACTCTTCCCCTCCCAGTTCGCAGGTCCATGGCCAAACTTATCATGTGAAATGGAGCCTCTCAAAATAACCTTGGATTCGACCTTCCAGGATTTTCTTGACCACCCTTTGTTGACATTCCTTGTGCTTTAATACTGGAATACTGAACCACTGGTCGTTTCCAAAAAACACAATTTATTTTTATGTTTTACACTTTGATGTCTTCAGTTCTTTCTTTTCTCTCCCTCTCCTTGAAAAAATCCTGTCAACACACAGCTCAATTCAATACTCTATTCATATTGCTTTTGAACTCTGAAACTTTATCCTTACTTTCATGTTTGCTCTATGATTAGTATTTAGCTATCATAATTTGACTTTTCTTTCTTTCTTATTTTTTTTTGGTATAGCATTTATTAATTTACATCTGTTCCCCAAGGCTAAAATCCCTCAGAGGAAATTTGTTTATTGTTTTCCTTAACTTTCTGTGACTAACATGATGTTGGGCACATAGCAGATGCTAAGTTAATGCTTGTGAATGTGAACAGGCAGATGAATTGAATCTAAGGGTCTTTTGTAAGTAGTGCTCTCTAATTTCAGTTTCTATTTTACAAAGTGAAGCTTAAGTAAGTTGTCCTCTTAGTCATTCTTTCTGGTTTTCAAATGTCTTAGACTAAAGTTTCTAGAGAAGATAAAAAATCTCCCTCCAGAGATGCACTAAGTCCTACTGGAGTGACATTCACTTTGCTCCAGTTCAATGCGAATGAAAGAAATTTCTCAAATACAACCCTTAAGCTGCTTCTTCTTCTCCCTTGAGTCAAGAAATTGTCCATGTGCATGACTCCAGGATCCTTTTAATTGAACTCAGCTAAATGTTTCTTTTATTCTTTCCACTTAGGTTTGGAGATGACATTCCAGGCATGGAGGGACTAGGAACAGGTGAGCCACTCACATGTCTAAGTGAGAACCTTGCACTTAGAGTTTCTCCTCTTTACACACTTCAGGCCTCAAGGGGCAGTTGAGAGTTACAAGGAATACCTAAGGCAGCAGAACCTTCGAGGACATAGAAATGTGGGAATTTCATTTACCCCCCTAAGTAAATACATATGTGACCAGACACAAAAACCCTAAAAGAAATCAAGGAGACCCAAAGTTTAATGAATCCCCTTGTTTTATTAAAGAACCTTTGAAGGTATATAATGGGCAATTGTAGATTTTCATGGTAGAAAGATTCTCAGAGTTTGTCTAGCCCAACTTTACTTTTCAGGAGAGAAATCTGAGACAGAGGAATTGAGTGACAATGTGGGGCCACAGAGTGAGGTATTGGAAATAAGACAAACTTTCCACTCAACCAGGCAAACCACTCCTTAGCAACTTCCTCTTCTTGCACATCCTCTAGCACCAAGAACAGGACCCTGCATGCAGGAGGCATCCAATACAACTTTTTAAATTGGCTAGAATATTTTCACTCTCTGGATAATGATCGTAACTAATGTACCCCAGGAAGTGTATGCCATCCTATTTTAAAAAATTAATAGATTTTATTTCTTATAGAAATTTTAGATTTAGAGAAAAATCAAGTAGAAAGTCCAGAGACTTCTTCTATTCCACTTTTCTCTTTCCCCTCATGCACAGTTCCCCTATTGTTAGCATCTTGCAGTGTGACACGAGTGTTATAGTTGATGAGCCAATACTGATACATTATTATCATATTAATCAGAGTCTGGGGCTTACATAGCTTTGGGCTAATTCCTTGTATGATTTTAAGTGTTTTAATTAATACATAATAGTTGTGTACCCACCATTATTGTACCATAGTTTCACTGCCCTAAACAACCCCTGTGTTCCAACTGCTCATCTCTCTCTCCTTCCTCCCAAACTCCTGACAACCACAAATATTTTTATCTTACTTTTGCCTTTTCCAGGATGTCATATAGTTAGAATCTTACAGTATAAAGTTTTTTCACACTGGCTTCTGTCACTTATCAATATTAGCTTAAGGTTCATCCATGGCTTTATGTGGCTTGACAGCTCATTTCTTTTTATTGTTGAATAATATTCCATTGTATGAACATACCACAGTTTATTTAGCCTATTGAAGGACTTGATTTTTTTCATGTGTACACAAGTCAAGCCATTGTCTATGTGCGCGCTCTCGCGCACACACACACACACACACACACACATATATTTATATTTGTGTGCAGGTTTTTGTGTGAATATATGTTTTGAACTCATTCAACATGGTTGATAACTGGTGACTCTCATAGAAGTCAGTGTTCTTACCAGGAGATACTCAGTGTGTTTGCATTCTATATTCAGTGGCACTCCTGGGATCACAAATAGATTTTCTAGTCACTTTATAATGGTCATTTGTTGTTCTAGGTCAGTTGCTTCTGTATTTTGGCCAGATCAGCATATTTGCTTTGAGCTCTAGAAGACAGGCTTAAACTCCTGACACATTTGGAACAATGTAAACAGATTTATTCTGAAGGAAGATCTGAGGTCTTTGACCTGGTTCTAGTCCCATATATATAACTGGTTTTATTGATTGATTGATTGATTGCTAATTGTTTACTCTGGGTATAAGCCAGCTTCTTTGTAATGGGGGATAGTAATATCTGAAACAAGCAGCTGAATTAGATGATGCCTTGAGATTGCCTGTCAGTATGTGATTTGATATAGACGTTTCAAAATGTAGAGGAACTGAAGAGTGAGTCAGAGAAACACAAGGAACCCATTTGGGTAGGAGTAAGACCACTGATTCTCAGACCCCGGGGATTTACAGTGCTCCCAATTCCCTTTTTAATCTTCGACCTGACTAGAATTCCACTTCTGCTTTCTCCATGGTAGTTGAAGTTTAGGGAGACTCAGTGAGCCATAACCCACAGTGTACTCCAGTCAAGCCATTGTCACCTTCCCAAAGAGGATACAGAATGAAACCAACAGAGATACCAGGGCAGTGGGGGCAGCAGAGGTGGGGACAATAATTGTGCAATTGATGGGATTCTTCCTGGGCTATAGGGCCAGTCTGGATAGCTTCCCAGTAGCCAGGGGGCGGAGGGAGGAGAAAGGTGTCTCTGCCTGAAGGGTATCCTTTGCGTGGAAGAGGCTCTCCTTCCTTGCGAGGAAGAGGCTCTCTTACACACACACACACACACACACACACACACACACAGTGGATGAGGTTGGCTTACATATTCTTCTTTCATCTCTCGCAGATATCACGGTGATTTGTCCTTGGGAGGCATTCAGCCACCTAGAACTGCATGAGCTTGCCCAGTTCGGGATTATCTAAAGCACCAGAGGTTCTGCCAACGCTCAACAATATCTGCTGTAAAATTGACTGCTTTTGCTCTATTGTTCTGACAGAGGCTTAAAATTCAGTATTTAGAAGGAGTTTCTTGGGCTTCTGTGGTCATTTTCCATCAGTTACCAAGAGTTCTCTTGGTGTCAGAATCTCTCTTGCAGCCCATAGCTCAGCTAGGAGTGTGATTGAAAACCTACTTTTGTTGGGTCATTTTAAACTTACCACCCTTTCTATCAACTGATTAGAAGTCATCAATACTTCTGTACATTTTGTTTTATGTGTAAGTTTCTCAAATCTAATTTGCTTGGCATTCATTGTAATTAGTAGTAGAATTTTAAGATAGCATGTCATTCTTCGCCCCTTCTTATTTAAGAAAGGAGACATTTACCTTGAATCTTATGGTGAAATTGTACTAAATACTGCATACAAATACTTGATGACCTGTTCTGAGAACCAATTAAACAAAGAAGGCACAGTCATGTGGAAATAGGTACATGGTGCTTGTGAAAGAGCACAAGATTAAGATTCAAGTCATAGTTCTGCTTTGTCAATTTCACTTTCTTGGTCTATATTTTATTGAATTAGGCTATCCTGAGGTCCCATGTAGCTGTGAATTGTATAATTCTACGATAGTTGAAGACTGGACACTTAAACTCACAACTCTGACAACATGAGTCTACTTTTTAGTGCTCTGTTTTGGGAAAGTTCCTATTTGTAGCCTCCCTTTGGTGGAATTATTCTGTCCAATGGCTTAAGGTGAGAGTCACAGCTTATTTGTATATGCATCGGCTGGATTTCTGTACATTTATAATAAATCACTTTTAAACCATTCGTTTAAAAGCTTTATATGCTATAGATGCAAAGTACAGATAGTTGAACCCTCCAAATAAAATGAAGATTTGCTTCACCTCTAAGGTTGTGTCAAATGGAATGTGCACATAGTTATCTTTTCCCAATACTTTCAAGGCGCTTGTGCAATTTGAATACTGCCTCTGTCTGACTTGGATGCCTTAGTACTAACAGTATGGATTTCTTCATTTCAGTTTCATAATCTGTGGTTTAAAAAAAAAGAGTAAATTAACTGAAAAAAGAAGGGTGAAAGAGAAGATAGAGAGATTCTAGTCCTGAATCTACCAGTAAGTTGCACTGTAATTTTGGGCAAAGACCCCACCCTTTGGACTCTCCAGTTTGCTTGAATTTGATAAACTGAGGTTCACGGTAACAATAAATTCTGTGATTTTTTAGGGCCTCAGGATCTAAGCAAGAGAATTAGAGGGACTCAGTAGTCCAGAGAATTACTTTTGCTATTGATTTTATATTATTTATTTTACACAATTGACCAAAGGACTTATTGAGCAGAAAATTAGAAGTACAAAATAAAAAGGAAGATATAAATTAAAAAGTGGAACAATGACATGCACAGAGGCATAGTGGCAAGTGTGCTTCCTCCTTCAGCAGGAACTCCTGCCTCCACCCAGGCACCTATTTTCTGTCCCTCCTGCAAAAGCTGACCCTACCCCTTCAAGTCAGCTGCGTTTCTTAGCCAATGACTTCAGTCACCACTTGTTCAACCCAGGCTGTCTCTTAGTCTAGAAGGTCTAGGTTCTTCTGTGGCTGGATGAGAGTCTGATCTGCATTTTGATTACTTTGAAAATGTTTTTCTAAATGTGAAACAATAATGTTGACAAAACAGCATGCACCCAAAGGAACATATCCATGCTTTTGTCTGATGTGGATGCTTTGATACCAATAGTATGAGTTCATTTCAATTTTGTAAGTATATCAGAAGTTAATTCATCACAAAATTTTAGAGTTTGGAGAATTTTAAAAAATCTTCAGACACCTTCCTGATAATACAAATCATTGAGGATTGCTTGTGAAAAGCATACAAAATTTGGGTCCAACTCAAGATTTTCCGTATAAAAATCTCCAAGGGAGGGATCTTAAAATCAACTATTATTAATAAGGGTCCCAGGTGATTCTTATATTTTGAAAACACAAGGAAGTCCTAGCCTACAATTTCGCACATTAGAAATTAGATAATTCTTATGTTGCTGCCTCTATTAGTCAATCAATTTGCTTCCCAATAAAATATGTGAGAAAAGTGGCTAACATTTCATGCATTCCAACTCGTAGACTGTTTTGTTGACTGATAACATGGAAATACCTCACGACTCCATGGTAACTCAGTTAAATGCCTCTTGCAGAGACTGTCAGAGAGTTTAGACTATAAGTATTGAATTGATAGTTTCAAGAACTATGGGGCCAAATGTGCACCACTATTGCCAATTACCTGCTGCTGTCTCACTCAGGTACCCTCCCTCCAAAGCCCTGTTCTAAACTGCTTTCTTTGACTGGAGTAGGAGAGACCAGGGAGGGAGAGAGCTTTGGTCTGGGCAGGCGGAGCCAGGGGCCTGCCTTATCCTCCAAACCTTTCTTGTTTGTTGCTGTAGTTGGGTAAAAGTTGAGAATGAAGGTGCTTATGATTTAGGGACTTCTGCCCATTCTAGAACCCAGCAGCGCTAAAGTCAGACAGAAAAAATTATGCAAGGAGGAAATGTTCCTCTCAGTACTCCACCCTAGGCAAATATACACAGTGGTTCAAATAACGGTCACTGTGTGTTGACTTCTATTGTGACGGAAGGAAGACTCCCATCAACTGACGAGAGAAGGGAGAGATATTTTCTTAACAACTAAAGGAGTGAATGGAACACACACACATACACACACACACACACCACATACACATGCCCAGAGGAATAATCAGTAAAAACAGTATTTAATACCAGAGAAAATGGCAATTGCACTTGACCAAACAAAAGAAAACCCAACACGATGAGAGCTAAGAAAATATGACATGAAATTGTCTTAAATGGAGAAACAGAAAAGGTTTTATGTTTTATTAAAGGCTAAAAGGCTTAAATGGAACATAAAACCTGGGTATGTGTATAAACTAACAAAGTGTTTCCTGCAGATCTAAATAAGTTGTTGCCCTACCATTTACCTTATGAGGGCATAGCTGGATTAGATGAAAACAGAAATTTAAAAGCAAGATTCATAAGCTGATTGTTAACATCAGTACACTTTTTTTTTTTGGCAAAAACCATCAGGAGATCAGGGTTCTGCCTGGCTCTGCTACAAAGTACTTAGTAAATAATCAGATAATTAATTTCCCTTCTTTGGGCTGAAATATTTTGAGAATAAAAATAGATCTTGGACTAAATGTTCTCCAATGTTCCTTTCAGCATAAACTTATAAAACACAAGTAATAAGTCTAAATATATTTCAAATACAACCACACTGTTCTCTTTATGGACAGAAGTCCTAAAACACAGAGCCTCAATTTCCAGTTCCTTCCAGAATGAGTGTTTAATTGTTTTTTTCACATCTCTTCAAGACCCAGGGTAAAATAAAATTGTGTACAGTACTGCCACCTGCTGTAACAAAGGAGTACTTCAACACTTAGAAAGCTAACCATTTCAATCAGAAAACTTTTAAATCCTCAGAGCTAATTCTGAATTTGTCCCCATTTATTGGCCAATTAAGTCTGTTGTACTACTGATTGGCTATGGAAAGGTCTTCTATACACAGGATAAACATTAAGAGGCTATGAAATTGAACGTACTACAAAGTAAGTCTCACTTCCACCCAATGAACCGTGTAGTGTTTTGAAGTTATGATCATACAGAATTTATATATTCCTAGTTAGTAAATTTCTTGTTTTATTATTGGTTGTTCAAAACATTACAAAGTTCTTGACATATCATATTTCATACATTTGATTCAAGTGGGTTATGAACTCCCATTTTTACCCCGTATACAGATTGCAGAATCACATCGGTTACACATCCACGTTTTTACATAGTGCCATCCTAGTGACTGTTGTATTCTGCTACCTTTCCTATCCTCTACTATCCCCCTCCCTTCCCCTCCCGTCTTCTCTCTCTACCCCATCTACTATAATTCATTTCTCTCCCTTGTTTTTTTTTCTGTTCCCCTCACATCCTCTTATATGTAATTTTGTATAACAATGAGGGTCTCCTTCCATTTCCATGCAATTTCCCTTCTGTCTCCCTTTCCCTCCCACCTCTCCTCCCTGTTTAATGCTAATCTTTTTCTCATGCTTTTCCTCCCTGCTCTGTTCTTAGTTGCTCTCATAGCAGCACAATTCACAATAGCTAGACTGTGGAACCAACCTAGATGCCCTTCAATAGATGAATGGATAAAAAAAAAATGTGGCATTTATACACAATGGAGTATTACTCAGCACTAAAAAATGACAAAATCATGGCATTTGCAGGGAAATGGATGGCACTAGAGCAGATTTTGCTAAGCGAAGCTAGCCAATCCCTAAAATACAAATGCCAAATGTCTTCTTTGATATAGTTAGTAAATTTCTATTAAATGTAACAGTATATTTTGTAATAGATTGCTATTTGCATATATTGAAGTTATAAAAATTTATAGGTTAGCTGCACTCTCAGCTGATTTAATGAGTTCTTAGATTATTTTAAATAATTTTTTATTTGTTAATGGGGGGTTTCCAGATACACTCTTATACATCACTTTCAAAATAAGCAGTAATTTTCCAAAAGAAAAAAATTATGTATTTTTTATTTTCTGATACTCTAAATTGAGATCATTTCCTTGCCCTGAATGATATTATAATGGAAAGTGTGATATTCAGACATGGGAGGTAAAAGAATAGGCAAAAGAGAGCAGGGAGGAAGAGCAGGAAAAAAAGATTAACATTAAACAGATACATGAGGTGGGATGGAAAGGGAGAGAAAAGGGAAATTGCATGGTAATGGAGGGAGACCCTCATTGTTATACAAAATTACATATAAGAGGTTGTGAGGGGAATGGGAAAATAAACAAGGAGAGATATGAATTACAGTGGATGGGGTAGAGAGAGAAGATGGGAGGGGAGGGAGGGGGGATGGTAGAGGATAGGAAAGGTAGCAGAATACAACAGTTACTAATAGGGCATTATGTAAAAATGTGGATGTGTAACCGATGTGATTCTGCAATCTGTATTTGGGGTAAAATTGGGAGTTCATAACCAACTTGAATCTAATGTATGAAATATGATATGTCAAGAGCTTTATAATGTTTTGAACAACCAATAAAAAAAAAAAAGAGAGATATCCTCATGAAAAAATTCAGAGAACTCATGTAAGAAACTAGGTAATAAATCAAATTTTATTTTACTACAAAAAAAAAGAATAGGCAAAAGAAGCAAATAGTACACTTTTATCACATTAATTCAATAAACCTTTCAGGTAATATTTCTGAGGCATATTATGGGTAAAAACCATAACTATAAAATATGGAAGCACTTGATAGATATTTGTTAAATGAATGAATAAATTATATGATTGCAAGATTGGTATAAACCAATAGAGGTAATACACTATTAACAGAGTATATAAAAATCACCTGCTTATGTCAATTCATATAGAAGAAGCATTTGAAATAATTGAACATCTCCTCCTGATAAGAATTCTCAATGAATTTGCTGTAGAAGAATGTTTGCCAACATAATAAAGGCTGTATATGAAAAGCCAATAGTTAACATCACACTTAATGGTGAATAGTTAAAAACTTTTTCCTCTAAGTTCAGGAACAAGACAAGTGATGGACACTATAATCACTTCTTTCCAAAATGCTACTGTAAGTTCTAGCTAGAGCAATTAAGCAAGAAAAAAATAAAATCAATAAAATAAAAGGCATTCAAATTGGAAAGAAAGGAGATAAAACTGTCTGTTTGTAGATGACATTGTGCTGCTATGAGAGCAACTAATAAAACTAAGTTTTATTAACTAAGATATTGTTAAAATATCCATACCCAAAGTGATCTCCAGATTCAACAAAATCCCTATCAGAATTCCAAAGTTATTTTTTGCA